AGTAAAACTTACATGTATTATTCAAATTAATCGGAACTGTTTTCAGAGAAGGATTTATACAGATCAGAGAAAAGTTTAAATAGATTTTATTACATCACTGAACCTTAAAATGGATTTTATTACGCCAAAACCCCCTTTCTTAGGAGAGGAAGGAACCAGCAGAGAGCTATTAAAGGCTTCTGATGTGATGTGTGTGTTACACGCGAAGGGGCAGAGGGCAGAGACGTAGGTAAGGTAGTAAGGTAGGTAAAACCATGTGAGTCAAAGGAAAACCTTAAAAAACAGCATTCGACTCAACCCCATTGCACGCGGTCAATAGTCTCACTGTTTTTGTATTTCCATATGACCACGACCATAACTGCCTAATTGTAGCAAGTCCAAACCTAAAACTGACCCTGCCGAGACTAAACCGAGACTCTCGAATTTCGATGTCGGAGATTAATCGAGTATTTGATATCGATTCCAATGTTGATACACATTCCCTAGTATTCACATCAAAATCACGATTTCTACTTACTATATACTGAATATCATAGTGCATTCAGTATTAATTGCAATATCAATAACCTATTGAAGTATGAACCAATTGTGGCGTCCAATAAACAATCAAACTAAAGGCCTTTCGTTAACCTCGTGGTCGTAACTGCTTAAATCACAATCAAATGAATGTCGACGGCTGACGACACGTCAGAAATAGATTGCTGTAGAATATGAATAATGCCAATCGGAACTATTGCGTAATATCCAGGTTGAGTTTAAAAAAAGGATAGAGCAAGGAATAAACCCCAGTTGAAACCGCGAGCGGAACGGACCCGTTAAGGACTCCATTTAGCTTGCAAGAGTAAACTGCATAGTTTTAAATTCCCAACAAAGAATAGTCGGGCGAAAAGGACTGTTTGAGCAGAGCGAGTTGAAATGGACTCGCTCAATTCTAGGGAGTGAAGCGGAGTAATTACGGAGTCGGAGTACGTAATTACGGAGTAAAAATTGGTTGAAACGAGTCCGTTAGAGCAAGGCAGGACAAAACTATTTGATGGTGGAAACGTAAACCATGAAATGAAACCAGACTTAAGAACCAACAGTCATCGTGCCATCCTTTTCTAAAGGACCAAACAAATAACTGACATCACGATGTTGTTAATTTTTACAAACTGCAGTATGCAGTTTGCCTTCTTACGCTGACTATCAACAACAGCTCTATTTGAAGGCTGCATGCAAGCTATAAACAAAGTCTGACGTATTTGTCATCTTAGCACTATCCATAAACCGTCAATCAAGCTTAATGCAAGCTAAAATAAAGGCCCGTCCGCGCGAAAGTGTATTTTCCGTAAGTGTGTACTTTCCGTAAGTGTGTACTTTCCGTACGTGTGTACTTTCCGTAGTAGGATTTGAACCGCTATCCCTATATTTAGTTAAATACATTAGATAGGGCGCAATGTATTAGAAAAACGCATACAGTAAAATACCTTTATACATCTACATCGGCTAAAAATATGGAAAAAGTATTAAAGTAGGTAATTCAGCATAACGTTTTGAATTTTCAATAACTATACTCTAACTTAGCGTGACCTAAACAGATAAAAGGTTGGATTATAAAGAAATCAAGATGATATTTGAACGTCTTAAGTATAAATAATTGTGTAATGAGCTCGGTAATTTGTTCTTTATACCCATAAAGAATAAATTATGGGTGTTTCTTTATTGGTGCTTTATGGGTGGTGTAATTTATTATATGTATTTAGATATAAATATGTCTGTGTGTCAGCAGTGGGGTCATCAGCCACCATCATCATCAACAGTTTGGACCAAAACTGGATAGAGCCTGCCTAGTTTGGAAAAATGTGTAAATAATTATTATTTTCTTTTCTTTAAGAGTATTGTCATTATCTGCACAAATAAATAAAATTGAAATGTCTGTTTGTAATGTCAAAATAATGGGTTTTTTTCATGCTCACTCGGTTATTTGGACAATACCAATGCCAAAAAACCAGTTTAAATATTTTTTTACTGTCGGTCTCTTTGTTCCGGGTATCTTCAAAACGGCTCTACCGACTTTGATTATATTTTACTACCAGGTAGCTATTGATATAAGAAGTAACTTAAGCTATATATTCCTGTCAGAAAAACCCTTAAAAAAATTGCCCGGTCCAGGAATCGAACCCAAGGCCTCATGGACTGCAGTCGCGTACCGTACTACATCACATCATAAGTCAACGCTTTTCAAATTTCACGCGAACGAAGTTGCGGGTACCAGCTACTTGATAGATTGACGCTAATACTTGGAACATGCTTTTCTTGTACCTTTAAATTTAAACGAAACTAGAAATGCTACTTTTCATTCTTAAATTTATTTAATAACTAGCTGAGACCCGCGGTGTTACCCGCGTTTGTTGTTATAACCGCGGGCAAAGCCGCGGGGCGAAGCTAGTCTAAAAAAAGTAGCCTAAGTTACTCCTTATGTCATCAGCTATCTGCCAGTGAAAGTCCTGTCGAAATCGGTCCAGCCGTTCCAGAGATTACCCGGAACAAACAGACAGACAGACAAATATTGTAAAAATGTTATTTTGGCACATGTACCGTGTAAACATACATATGCATTTAGTAAAAAGCGGTTATTTTAATATTACAAACAGACACTCCAATTTTATTTATTTGTATAGAATAGATTCATAGCCGCAACCCAGAAATTAGGCGGGAGGCGATATTATAAGACTTTGCTTCAAGGAGATCAAATCTATGCAAAATTAAAAAAAATGTTGCAGCAGCTCAAGTTGTGCAAAGCCATAGTATTAAAATACAGGACGTATTTTCTTATGACTCTTTTTATGTGAAATTTTACTAAAATACAAATTAATGATTAAAGTTTGTCTATCTACTTATTGAAATATTTATCTCGGCACGGACCGTTCGACGGCAGGGGTCAAAGGTAAAAGACATTCTGGGGTTACAGCGGGCACTTACTGAAAGCGGCGGAATGGGTGTAGATCGATGACGCCACGTGCTTCGTCTGACGCAACATCCGAAAGCTATGAAGCGGGAAATGATTTCTTCCAATTTCAAATTCGAAGGAATTTAAACCGAGGAAAGCAACTCGATTACTTTTTCCTCTGTACTTAGTAAGTACACTAGCATTCGGCACCAAAGTATATAACTGAACGCACTTATAATTATTTTTCGTTTAATTTGTAGTTTTAAAATACCTTTTGGTAGTTTTAAATATAAATTTAATTGTAAAATTTTAATTGTTTAATGTACTTAGAAGTAGGTACACCTACGTACACAGATAGCTCCATAGAATAAAACACGTGTTATGGTAACGAAAATGTTAATAAGATTCTCGCTACGTAATTTACTCAACGCTTCGTTATTTATGTGTTTTGATTGAATTGAACATATGTATATTAAGTTCATAAAATGATAATTCAATAACGATTTAAAAAGTTCATTATTTATAAAAATAAATCTTGAGCTTTTTAAAATGTTTTAATGTTAATTATTTAATGTAAATTTATAATTTTTTGATGTTATTAATATCGATATAACACAATTTATATAAATGTTAGATAATTTCATCAAACAGAAGTTACTAGGCATTTAGATATTACATAAAAAAAAAAAGCTTAAAACCTTTAATAATATTTATATCTGTTGATATTCTGCAATTACTATATTGAAATACTAAACACGATATTTGGATTTTATTATAAAAATTCTAAATGTCACAGGTTAACATCATAAAATAAATCAGAATCTGATTATATGTATTTCGAACAGAGAAGTAACTGTTACTTACATTTTAATTTATTTGATCCTCAATTTAATCCACTAAATTTTAATATTACAATAAACTCACTGCACTGTTACAAGTTCCCGCGTTTTTTTTTTGTCGGAGCGACTAAGCCCGCCAACACAGATCGCGAGACTGCCGTGCGCCAAATAAATGCGAGATAGAATATTACTTTTCCTAGGTGCAATAGAGATAACTATACATGTTGAAGTATTGAACGGGGGTTGCGACAGGGTTGGGGTTGCTGAAAAATTATTAAGAATCTCGCAGTTATCCAATAACACCTGCGAATAATAATATGAAATGAAAACTAAAAAAAAAAATGTGGTTTAGAATCATAAATATTAAAAAAAATGGTTATTTAATATTTAACGTTATTTGTTTTACCATTAAAAAGGCATAATATTATACCTAAACCCACTACCTATGCTACGTGCAGAAGAATAAAGTAAAGGATAAATTTTGATAAACGGTGCATTTAAATTACACGAAATAAATGTAATTGGTAAAAATAAGGAGGTGTTAATGATTTTTTAAAAACCTTCTCTAATTGCTTATAAGATCGTATGTAAGTACTCAAAAATTCGTAAAGAAATGATATACGCGGTACGAATATTATTATGTTATTGCGCTCTCGCATCTATGGCGGTGGACAAAGAACCACTGGGCATACTTCATATTTCTGAGTATGAAGCGAAGCGAAGGGCAGCAACACACTTGTGATTCACTTGAGTTACAAGTGTAATAGTATACGGGCAGAGTATAGTCACTTACCATCAGATGACCTGTCTGTTCGTCATCAAAACAAGCCACGTTACATGTAATTTTATATACGACTTCTTTTTTTCTTTTTAATGGCTCGGCACAATTCGTCGGGCCAGTGTCAAGTTATATAAGACTTGTAAATATTATTATTTATAAATCAAGAATAGCGTGAACTCTAAACCAAAGATATGAATTAATTAGAACAAGATTTCATTTTTTTTTATTATGTGATACTGAAGTCAGCCAGTAAGCTATTAGCTATCGGGCCGCTGTCTTAACTTTTACACTTGATTTGGTTAACGCAGTATATGTAGGTATTTAAAAGCTTCTCTGTTAACAATATTGAAAATTATCTTTATTATTTTTTAGATAAAAGGTTAGTAGGTAAAACTAATGAAAAACGTTATGTTTCAACAGAAATTGTCCTTATCGCAATCATATTAAGAAAATGGAAGATAAAATCAGGTATTATATCGTTCATTGTTTTTGTCAATTTTATTGAAAAACTTAGAATAGAAAGCTTTATCATCTATTTATAATTGAGTCTATACGTGACTATGCTGAAAGATCAAGACAAGTGTCATTACTGTCTAATTCATAATGCTACTTGTCAGTAATTGTCAGTATACAGCTGATTTATATATGTGGTGTTGTTTTGTTCAGTAAAAATCCAAAAATGAGTGAATCAGGCCGACTTATTGTATTGTATGGTAGCCAAACGTATACAGCTCAAGAAGCCGCCGAGAGAATATGGCGTACGACTAAAATTTTAGGATTTCGGGACCGGTTCTAGCGTTAGACAATTATCCAGTATCTCAACTTATCCACGAAGAATTTGCAATATTCGTGGTTGCCACGGCTGGCCAAGGGGATGAACCTGATAATATGAAAAGATTCTGGAAGTTTCTTTTGCGAAAAAACCTACCTCCTAACTCTTTATCAAAGTTAAAATATGGAGTACTTGGTTTTGGTGATTCATCGTTTTCTAAATTTAATTTTGCTGCTAAGAAGCTTCATAAAAGATTGGCACAATTAGGGGCCACACCTTTGGTTGACATAGGTAAGCTTAAAATTATTATATTAAGTGCATAAGCTAACATCGGCATTGGATGAAATGTTTCTACACCAATGTTTCAGGGCTATGTGACTTCCAACATGACTTAGGCCATGATGCAGTTAAAGCACCGTGGATCAACGAATATATATCAAAATTGAAGTTATTCTTCCCTCACATACGAACAGACAACTTAAATAGTTTTGTACCTAGATGGAAAGTTTCACTAATAAAAGATGGTAGTCCTAATTTAATTAACAATAAAGTTGAAAACAGTCTGACAAGGGACATTTATTTTGAAGATTGTGCAACTGATACATATTTAGGTGCTTGTCAAGTAGTTGTTGAACAAAATATACGAACTACAGACAAATCACATTTCCAAGTAAGTAACATAAATATTACTAAACCAATAAAAATAAAATAAAATCAGTGTAATTAAATTTTATTTTACTCAAAATAAGCCCAAATATAGGGCCCTAATTTATTGTACACAACAATATTCGCAGTAAGTGTAAACAAAAAGAAGAATTTCTTGGGCATGTCAAGAGAATTAAAAAACCACAAATTTCAGGATGTTAGATTGATAACCCTAAGAAAAACAGGAGACTCTGAGCTTCATTATAAACCAGGAGATGTATTCAATATTATTCCTCGGAATTCTAAAGAAGATATAGCTGATTTATTTAGTATATTTGAGGAACACAATATTGATATAAAACCTCATTATATGCTTCTGGTAGAAGAATGTCATTATGGTAAGTTTTTTCCTTGATTTTTTTTTAAATTTTGGATCTGAAATACATATTTAACTTAATTATTATAAATATGACAGATAATATAGTAAAACTTTTAGAATTTTCGAACTTTTATGTTTCCGAACGAAGTTTTGCGTTTTGATGTAACTATAATTTTTTTCTAGTAAATTGAGAAAAATATTTTATTTTAATAGTTTGTTTAATTTACTCTGGAAAAATAAAAATGTAAATTATTTTAAATTTTAGTAAAAAGATATCTTTATTTTTTAAATAAACATATTTTCATTTTATTTATGTTACCGATAACTAAACGCCAACTGTCAATGTCAAAATAAACACGTGTGTCAGTCGCATTAATCGGTATGCAGTTAGGTTATGTTACTCTATGGTATGCAGTATGCAGACATTGAAAGTCAACCATGTTGCGACGACAGACGCGTTTGCGCCGTGAATACCTATACAGAAAGTCTGTAGCAGATAAACAAAAAAATATTAAATTAAAAAAAGACCAACTCAAACGAAGTTTGGAAGAAAACATTAATATTCATGGAGATCTACGAAAGGAAGCACTTGCCTTACAAAAAAGAATACACTACGAAGATAAGGGTAAGTACACAGTGCATATTTTGATGATTATTCGTTAAAAATAAAGGATTTAAAGAAAAATTACTATACGCTATATAGCTATGGGACGATGAGGTTTCCTTTTAATGATCACATCATTTTACTAGATCGTATGTAAAATGTATGTCAGTAACTATTTATTATAACCTTTTTAAAGAAAAGCCGTGGAGGTGCCTAATTTTGTTGTATATTTTTATTCCATAACTCAAAACTGCATAATTTATGAACCTGTTTGTTTTTTTTTTAATTTGCCATGATATTCTTCCCAGTTGATCTGCCTAGCATACATATTGCTTATAGCTTATATGTAACAATAAATTACTGTATAAAACATTTTGTAGGCCCAGAAAGAGCAGCGGTAATAGGTGGCTTCAGTGGAGGTAGTAATACGCAAAGTGCACAGGATGATGAATACCGGTATGCAGGGGTGGAGGACCCAAAAATTATGATTACTACTTCCAGAGAGCCCAGTGCGAGACTTAAAATGTTCGTTAAAGAACTTAGGTAATTCAATTTTTATTAATTATACATTTTAACAAAAATATAAACTTTATTTTTATTATGACAGAAAATAGATTGATATTATGGTTACAATAGTGTATGAGTGTATGATTCAGTTGGCTTGCTGGATTAAGTAAGCCATAACCACCATGAGGGTGTTTCACTTTGTTAGGAGTAAAAAGTCTCCCTAAACTTAATAATGTATATTCAAAATTTTAAGAAGATTGGACTATATTAAGGGGTTGCACAAATGAAAAGTATGAGTGAGAAAAAACTAAATTTTAATATTAAATAACCTTTTTCAAAAGAACACAGTATGATAGAAATATGCCAATCTCAAGTAAAAGACACAAATTTTGCTTAGAATATGACTACAATACAAATATTCATTAAATAAAATACATTTTGTATTTAGTGTATATATTAATTAATTAATGATATAAGCATAAACCTCTTCTTTTGTTCACTTGGTAATGCCTATTCTGTGATGCTCAATGACTCTTAACAAGAATGGTTTCTGTTCTTCATCTTTGAAAGAATCATTGATTTTTTTTACCCCTTTCTGCAGAATCATTGAAATTTTTTACCCCTTCTGCAGAATCATTGGCTACCTAGAGACTTTCGATCAAGTCTTTGACTAGTCGCTTTTGTCGTGAATATCGAACAACTCAAAGAAAGTTTTTGTTTTAAGGGTTTTCCTATTCGGCCGTTTGACCTCCTCTTTCTTTGCTGGTTTTTCTAAATTTAAAATAAGAATCCAAAAGCTGTATCATATCCAGAGGTCGTAGGTAGCTTATAGCTGCCGGCTTATGACTCATTTATGGAATGACCCCATGTATCTATCCCACTCATTGACAAACTTATACGATTATCTCTCTGCATTATCAGAAATTCTTTTTCTTTTTGTAATACATTACTCATTGTCATTACATTTTGGCTCGCAATATCAAATAATTAGTCAAGATTGCTTTTCCATTCTTGCCTTTTTCTATTAGCTGCTTCTGAGTTTCTCGATTTGTCTTTGCCCAAAGATTGGTATTCCTTATAAAACTTTTGTATACCGGCTCGAATATTTCCTCTGTCTTAACAGGAATATTATATTTATATATACCTCTATTCCATATGACTTGCAGTTTTGTACTCGTCGATTTAGCAGCTTCAGAAAGCGTTTCTTCTATTTCTTTATGGTGGTGAATAAAAACTAACAACACTTGTTCTTTGGAAGGAAGCTTAGCTTCTAAAAAGTCTTCATACGGTAACTTATCAAGTAACCAAATTCCTCTTTTTTTTTACTCATTTTGAAGTTAAATATGTTTAACTGTTTCACTATAACACACTAGCCACACTTACTACCCTCCACTGTCAAAAAACAAAAAAT